AAGAAGACTCCCTCTTGAGATGGTTCGTTGAATTGGATGACGCCATAAGGGCGCGTCGCATCGACGACGGGGATATGCAAGTTGCATTTGCCCAGTCAAATCTGGCAGGACGTGCCAAGACTTGGGCACTGGGGCTCAAGCTGCACGACCCAAATGCGTTTGGGTCGTTGGAAGTCTTCAAGTCGCGGCTCAGACAAACGTTTGAACCGCCTAGAGCTGAGTTCAGGGCTCGAACCGAACTCTTGAAGCTCAAGCAGGGTAAGCGTGATGTGCACGCTTACGCTCAACATATACGACATCTTACGAGTTGTATAAGTTCCAATCCAGTGGATGAACACACGTTGGTTTCGGTGTTCATGCAGGGTCTTGCGGATGGTCCCGTCAAGACTCACCTGTTCCGGCTTGAACTAGATTCACTAGAACAAGCCATTTCCATTGCGGAGCAGGAAGACTTCAGTCTGAGACAGGCTCGCGCCAGCTCGACATCATATCGTCAACCGAGACGATATGACAACGGAGGTCCAGAGCCGATGGAACTCTGTTATGTAGAGAGCGAGAAGGTTCGCTCTACAGGCTACAAGAAGTTGCAGAGATGCAACAGATGTCAAAAGACAGGACACTACGCTTACGAGTGTAGTGCCCCTCGTCCAGTGTCTCGCGACACTGGGCGTAGTGACCGTCCACCCATGAGAAAGGGGCAGGGACGAGGGTCCGCAGTTGGTGCAAAGACGCAACAACGGGATGGACCGTCAAAAAACGGACAGGATCAGTAGGTGCGGAGCACCCTACTGATCCAGCAACGTCAAGAGAATTTGTAGGCCTCTTGATGAAGGTTGCTCCCAACACACAAACGTTGTGCGTTGCTGCTCTAGGTAATGAGATCTCACTCATTACCTTGAAACTCGAAGTGACGAATAAGTTGTCCCTTCGAGCTCTAGTCGATTGTGGGGCGTCCAACAATTTTGTGCGACGCCAATCGCTAGAAGATGGTCACTTTAAATTCAGTGAATGTGACACACCTCCTACGAGGATGACGGTACGTCTTGCGACAGGCGCATCCGTAACCGTCATGAAGCGTATAGTGAAGATCCACTATACGCTTGAAGATACCCAATTTGACGATGACTTTATCGTATTGGATTTGGATGACAAATTTGATGTCATCCTTGGAATACCGTGGCTCAGAAGGTACGAACCACGAGTAAACTGGCAACATCGAACAGTAACGATGCCTGCCGCTTGTTCATCAGATGGCCATCTGATGAACGTTTTGGAGCGTCCACAAGCGTGTGGATGTACTACGAGTGAGTGCGATGGCCTCACTTGTGGTACGGTCGTTAGTACGACTGCACAAAACCTTAGTGTACCAAACGGTTACACTTCGGAGCAAAGTTCCGGCGGCTGTGAGGAAACACAGGCTGCGCCGAAGGTCCACCACTCGAATAAGTCGGGTGGACTGGGACAAAGATGTATCCCTAGCGGGGAGCATCTAGAAGAGAAACAATCGATCTCTCAGGTTAAGCGAAGCGATTATCCTAGATCGACTGGAGAGTCTTTCGTAGAGGATCTCGCTGTGGTTGCGCAACCCCAGCTAGAGGAAGTAAAGGGAATAAGTCCCAAGATTACAAATACGGCGGAAATAAGTTCCCCGAAACCCGCGGGAATAAGTCCCCGGGAAAACGAAGGAATAAGTCCTTCGAAGCTTGAGGGAATAAGTCCCCAGGAAATGACAGAGACATTGAATGTCATAGTCAATAACGGATCATGTGTAGGCGCTTATACACTTGATCTGATTGCGCCTCCGAAGTTAACTTCGGAGATCACTCAGTTGCCAACGCTCGAACATAAAGGTTCTTGCGTGATCTGCGTAGTGGCAAAGTCAAGCAGATCTGCATACTCGTCGCTGACGACGAGTGTGTAACCGACATAAGGTCAGCGACAGTGTTTACTGAGAACGAGAGGGTTCTCAGTAGTTCATCTATGGACGAGAGTGTCCTAGATGAAAAGACACGAATTGAGCGATATGACTCCCAATCATGGGAATCGCTCAAGAAAAATCCTCTCTATGAAGATTTGGTTGAATTCAAGGATGTATTCCCTGAAACTGTTCCGTGCGAATTACCGAAGGATAAAGGTATTCGACACGAAGTCGAGCTTAAACCAGGCTCGAAGTACTGTGTCATGAAGCAGTGGCCACTGCCTCGTGAACAAGTACTTGCGATCGACAAGTTCTTTGCCGATCGTTTAGCAGCGGGCCATGTGAGGGAATCAACTTCCCCACATAGCTCTCCGACCTTCTGTGTGCGAAAAGCAACAGGAGGGTGGCGGATAGTGCACGCGTTCAACAAATTGAACGCTGCAACGGTACCGGCTCAGACGCCGATACCGAGGAAGGACGTAATCATTGATGGTATGTCAAAGAGTACCATCTTTTCGTCCATGGATTTGATGGATGGCTTCTATCAAATCCTAATGCGGAACGGGATATACCCTATACCGCAGTTAGCACGCCTAGCGGCATGCTCTGGGAATGGCTAGTAATGCCACAAGGGCTCAGTAATGCCCCTGCCACGTTCAACAGATGTGTATCACATCTGTTGAGGCCAGTACGAGAATTCGCGCCGAGTTATTTCGATGACGTATTCATCCATAGTCGAGCTATGGATGGAAAGTCGGACGTTGAGGTTCACAGGTACCACGTCCGACAAGTTCTTACAATCATGCGAAAGCATCAATTGTATGCTAACCTCAAGAAGTGTATATTTGCAGCAAGCGAAATACCACTTCTTGGGTGCATCGTTAGTAAGAACGGTGTACGTCCTGATCCCGAAAAGATCAAGGCGATCACCGACTGGCCTGTGCCGGTCGATGTCAAAGGTCTTCGAAAATTCCTTGGGCTAGCGGCGTATTTGCATAAGTATTCACGCAATTACGCCGAGATGACTGTGCACCTCTCTCGTTTGTTGAAAAGAACGAGAGGTGGTTATGGAACGCTGAATGTCAACGCTCCTTTGAGGGTATCAAGCAGAGCTTGATACAATCCCCAGTCCTAGCAATAGCCGATCAGGACAGGCCATTTCATGTGGTCTGTGATGCCAGCGATTTCGCAATCGGCTGTGCATTAATGCAGTACGATCTTGAAGGCGTTGAACGCGTCGTCTGCTATCAGTCGCGTCAGCTGCAACCAGCTGAGCGGAACTATCCAGTGCATGACAAGGAACTCCTTGCCATGAAGTATGCACTCGCGAAGTTCAGAGTCTATCTATTAGGAGATAGACCCTTCGTTGTTTACACTGACCATGCGTCTTTACGCACGGCAGTGAACAGCCCGCACCTTTCACAACGAATGGCGCGGTGGTTGTCATTCTTTGCGGAATACAACTTTACGGTCGAGTACAAACCAGGACGACTTAATGTCGTCGCTGATGCACTCTCACGTCGTCCCGACTTTGAAACAGTCGCGAAACCCAACAGTGAGACAGTCACTGTTGCGGTTATGACGTCCTCAGTCCCATCTACAACGTTGTATGATGATGTGAGGCGGGCATACGCCCAAGATGGTGAGATTGTGAAGTTGTTGTCACATCTCTCCCAACCATCCCGAGAATCGTTGAAACGATTGTCGCCTGCGTATCGATCTGCATCAGATCGATACACTACTCGTAACGGTTTACTGTATTATACAGCCGTTTCTGGTGACACACCACGTGTTGTCATTCCAGATGATACTGATCTGCGTTTGCGGATCATGTTCGAGTATCACGATGCTCCTATAGGAGTACATCGTGGCCGAGAGAAAACCTATCTCACGGTAAGTCGAGACTTTTACTGGCCCCGCCAGTATCAGTTTGTGCGAAAGTATGTTCGCGCATGCGAAGTCTGCCAACGAGTGAAGTCAAGTCCTTCACTGCGTGCACCTTTACAGCCTCTACCGGTTCCGGCTGAGTGCTGGGAATCCATCTCAATGGATTTCGTCTTCGGGTTACCCAAAGACGCACGCGGGAATACGGGTATTCTCGTATTTGTTGACAGATTCAGCAAAATGGTACACCTTGTGGCTGTACCAGAGACAATCACGGCAAGTGGCTGTGCTTGTGTCTTTATTGACACCATCTTCCGACTTCATGGGTTGCCCCGTGAACTCGTATCAGACAGAGATCCACGATTCACTGCTGATTTCTGGCGTTCCGTGTTCAAATCACTCGGAACGCGCTTGAAGATGTCAACATCTGATCATCCAGAGTCAGATGGTCAGACGGAACGTGCCAATCGTGTCCTTGAAGAGATACTTCGAGGATACGTACACTCCTTTAAGAGTTAGAGTGAGTTTTTGCCAATGGTAGAGTTTGCCATCAACAACTCGGTGCATGCGTCCACGACACATACACCGTTTTACGTGAATGGCTTGCGCCATCCGCGTGTACCCACCTTACTAGAGTGTAACTCTGGTTTAAGGGGGAGGGACTCGCGCGAGCAAAAACCGATTTGGTTCACGCTCATCACGCTCTGACGAAGAAGTCATTGCGTTTGATGCCGATATCGATAACATCGATATCGAAGAAGATGATGCCAGTGAGAGTGCGGAAGCCCTCACTGAAGACAATGATCCCAGTGAGAGTGCGGAAGCCCTCACTGAAGAAAGGTTGTTGTTGCTGCAGTGCGCTCACAGCACACTGAAGCTAACGAGTCATCAGATGAGTTCATACTGGCTCGTGAAACGGTAGTCCGTTTTGTGCAAGACTCCATCGCCGAAGCGGTGGATAAGCAAAAGCAAAACGCTGACAAGAATGGAAGGGCAAACACTCTTTTATTTAATAAAGGTGACTTAGTCCTACTGTCTACGGTTAATCTACCAAAGCATGTAGTGACTAACTTGGGTAGCAGTAAACTACTACCCAAGTACATTGGCCCTTTTCGTGTATTGCACCGCCTAGGCAATGCATACACGATCGAGTTACCACGTAAGATGCGAACGCATCCCACGTTTTACGTTGGTCGGCTTAAGCCGTACCATCAGTACGCTGCTTCTTCCGATGAAGAACGCCCTTGCGCTCAAGCATCTCGCAGAGAGCCTTGTGCTCCCGATGGTGGGCATCAACAAGGGTCTGAAGAGCAGTTATCTCAGCCCGAGACCGATCAGCAATCCCACGAGCTACCCTTAGCTCGTCACGAGAAGATGTCAGAGATCTCTCGTTCTCGAGCTGAGCAAAGGCAAACTCAGCTCGATGCTTCGAGGCAGTGTCCACCATTTGGAGACGCCTATTCCGCTCATGCTCGAGATCGTCGCGTAACCCTTGCGTTACGCGATCAAAAGCTCTCGGGAACACACCGATCCACATGATCGTGTGGAGAGCGTCTTTCCTCCTCCTCCACCTCCATTAGAGGACTCTCGCGGTGGCCAGCGCTATCTAGTTGAGCAGCTGTTGAACCACCGCGACGTGAACGGACGTCGGACGAGTTACCTCGTCCGGTGGCGCGGCTATCCCCCGTCCTGGGATTCTTGGGAGCCCCGCTCCCAATTGATGATTGACGTACTGGGTCTGGTTGAGCAGTACGACGCGGCACATCCTGTGCCGCAGAAGGACCGCCGGAGAAAGTCTTCCCGGCACGGTCGTAAAGGGATTTCAGGTTGTCAATCTTTTCGTACATCTCAGTAGAGACACGTACGCGCCACCACGGGCTGGTGAGGAGGTAAGCCTCCTTAGGTGCTCTTGCAGAGTTGTTCACACAACATGGGCACGGGTCTCCCCAAGAGAGGCAGGGTAATCCTTTCTCCCTTGACAGACGATGCAGCTTGTAGCGTGCACCTGTCGGGGTTCGCTTTTCAAACTTATCACGAGCTTTGATAAGTTTGTCGTTCCAAGCGTCACGACCTACATCCTCGAGGTTATGGATGTAGGCGTTCCACGCCTGAAGTAGTGAGGGACCATCACGTTTGTGATTTCCACTGTACCATCGATGTCTGGAGAAAGCATCGATGAAGAATTCGTGTTCAGCGCGATAGCCTTTCGCGCTGGGGTCAAGATGATGGATCCTTGACGAATCGAACAATCGTGTTCGATAACGATCACTCGTCGTCGCTGACAAGTGATCCGTGACGGATTTCGGAGGCATCCATGCCTTCTTTTCTGGAGCGAGACGCAACACATTGCGGTCCCGCTCTTCCTGCGACGTGCCGACAGAAGTACTGGCACCTCGCTGTGAAGTGGTGTCCATTGGAGAACCGACACCACTGTTAGCGCCCGAGTCTCGCGACCTCGAGCGCCTTCGCTTCGGCGATGGTTCATCTGATTCGTCAGATGAACCAAAGATGCTGCGACGCAAAGCATCGTCCATGCCACGCTTGGCAGGCGGCTTGGATTCAATTGCCGTCGATACGGATCCGTCATCCGTATCAGGAGAGTACGAGACACCGAGCTCGTACTCTGTGAAGACACGAGTGTCTTCATGACCAGCGCCTGCGTCACCAAGTGACACAGGCTGGGTCTCTTCAGCAACCGATGGGACATCAGTTGCTGTTGTTTCTGCTTCGGCGTCCGCACAGAGACGTGCAGACGCGCTCTCGGCGGCCTTGCTCGCGCATCGCATGGGCTTGTTAACCATGCGATGAAATGTTGGAAAGTGGACGCGGACCAACAAGTGCAAACCCTGTCCCAAATGATTTGGGACGAGTATCCATTTAGTCAATCAGTCACTAAAGTGACTGATGGTTAAGGGGGGGTGATGTAACGGGGTGAATCGTTACATAACAATTTATAAGAAATTGTTAATAGAATATAACTATAAGAGTTATATTCTCAGAATATTTTCATAAGGTTAAATATTCTGTTGCACTTACAAGTAGTTCCTAATTGGTTGATATAGGCCATTATATCAACCAACGAAGACGCGCCACGACAGACGCACGCAATGAGTGGTGAGCAGATAACTGATTTACACATTTGTATTTAGACATAGTTAGATGAAGATAAATAGTGATTTATTGCAGACATTAACTATTATAAATACAGTTCTACTTTTTACTCTAACCAAGTACTTGTAACGGGCACCCTGAAGCTTGTACTGGTGACAGTACAAGCTACTTATTCTGATAACAGAATAAGGCGGTGCCTCGATAACTTCACGTACACTCGTACGTGCAGAGGAAGACGGTAAGAAGAAGCGAGTACTTAGTTTAAGTAAAAAGTAGAACTGTATTTATAATAGTTAATGTCTGCAATAAATCACTATTTATCTTCATCTAACTATGTCTAAATACAAATGTGTAAATCAGTTATCTGCTCACCACTCATTGCGTGCGTCTGTCGGGTGGCAGCTTTCGTTGGTTGATATAATGGCCTATATCAACCAATTGGGAACTACCTGTAAGTGCTACAGAATATTTGTCCTTATGACAATATTCTGAGAATATAACTCTTATAGTTATATTCTATTAACAATTTCTTATAAATTGTTATGTAACGATTCACCCCGTTACATCACCCCCTTAACCATCAGTCACTTTAGTGACTGATTGACTAAATGGATACTCGTCCCAAATCATTTGGGACAGGGTTTGCACTTGTTGGTCCGCGTCCACTTTCCAACATTTCATCGCATGGTAAACAAGCCCATGCGATGCGCGAGCAAGGCCGCCGAGAGCGCGTCTGCACGTCTCTGTGCGGACGCCGAAGCAGAAACCACAGCAACTGATGTCCCATCGGTTGCTGAAGAGACCCAGCCTGTGTCGCTTGGTGACGCAGGCGCTGGTCATGAAGACACTCGTGTCTTCACAGAGTACGAGCTCGGTGTCTCGTACTCTCCTGATACGGATGACGGATCCGTATCGACGGCGATTGAATCTAAGCCGCCTGCCAAGCGTGGCATGGACGATGCTTTGCGTCGCAGCATCTTTGGTTCATCTGATGAGTCAGATGAACCATCGCCGAAGCGAAGGCGCTCGAGGTCGCGAGACTCGGGCGCTAATAGTGGTGTCGGTTCTCCAATGGATACCACTTCACAGCGAGGTGCCAGTACTTCTGTCGGCACGTCGCAGGAAGAGCGGGACCGCAATGTGTTTCGTCTCGCTCCAGAAAAGAAGGCATGGATGCCTCCTAAATCCGTCATGGATCACTTGTCGGCGACGACGAGTGATCGTTATCGAACACGATTGTTCGATTCGTCAAGGATCCATCACCTTGACCCCAGCGCGAAAGACTATCGCGCTGAACATGAGTTCTTCATCGATGCTTTCTTCAGACATCGATGGTACAGTGGGAATCACAAACGTGATGGTCCCTCACTACTTCAGGCGTGGAACGCCTACATCCATAATCTCGAGGATGTAGGTCGTGACGCTTGGAACGACAAACTTATCAAAGCTCGTGATAAGTTTGAAAAGCGAACCCCGACAGGTGCACGCTACAAGCTGCATCGTCTGTCAAGGGAGAAAGGATTACCCTGCCTCTCTTGGGGAGACTCGTGCCCATGTTGTGTGAACAACTCTGCACGAGCACCTAAGGAGGCTTACCTCCTTACCAGCCCGTGGTGGCGCGTACGTGTCTCTACTGAGATGTACGAAGGGATTGACAACCTGAAATCCCTTTACGACCGTGCCGGGAAGACTTTCTCCGGCGGTCCTTCTGCGGCACAGGATGTGCCGCGTCGTACTGCTCGACCAGACCCAGTACGTCAACCATCAATTGGGAGCGGGGCTCCCAAGAATCCCAGGACGGGGGATAGTTGCGCCACCGGACGAGGTAACTCGTCCGACGTCCGTTCACGTCGCGGTGGTTCAACAGCTGCTCAACTAGATAGCGCTGGCCACCGCGAGAGTCCTCTAATGGAGGTGGAGGAGGAGGAAAGACGCTCTCCACACGATCATGTGGATCGGTGTGTTCCCGAGAGCTTTGATCGCGTAACGCAAGGGTTACGCGACGATCTCGAGCATGAGCGGAATAGGCGTCTCCAGATGGTGGACACTGCCTCGAAGCATCGAGCTGAGTTTGCCTTTGCTCAGCTTGAGAACGAGAGATCTCTGACATCTCTTCGTGACGAGCTAAGGGTAGCTCGTGGGATTGCTGATCGGTCTCGGGCTGAGATAACTGCTCTTCAGGCCCTTGTTGATGCCCACCATCGGGAGCACAAGGCTCTCTGCGAGATGCTTGAGCGCAAGGGCGTTCTTCATCGGAAGAAGCAGCGTACTGATGGTACGGCTTAAGCCGACCAACGTAAAACGTGGGATGCGTTCGCAACTTACGTGGCAACTCGATCGTGTATGCATTGCTTAGGCGGTGCAATACACGAAATGGGCCAATGTACTTGGGTAGTAGTTTACTGCTACCCAAGTTAGTCACTACATGCTTTGGTAGATTAACCGTAGACAGTAGGACTAAGTCACCTTTATTAAATAAAAGAGTGTTTGCCCTTCCATTCTTGTCAGCGTTTTGCTTTTGCTTATCCACCGCTTCGGCGATGGAGTCTTGCACAAAACGGACTACCGTTTCACGAGCCAGTATGAACTCATCTGATGACTCGTTAGCTTCAGTGTGCTGTGAGCGCACTGCAGCAACAACAACCTTTTCTTCAGTGAGGGCTTCCGCACTCTCACTGGGATCATTGTCTTCAGTGAGGGCTTCCGCACTCTCACTGGCATCATATTCTTCGATATCGATGTTATCGATATCGGCATCAAACGCAATGACTTCTTCGTCAGAGCGTGATGAGCGTGAACCAAATCGGTTTTTGCTCGCGCGAGTCCCTCCCCCCCTTAAACCAGGGTTACGCTCTAGTAAGGTGGGTACACGCGGATGGCGCAAGCCATTCACGTAAAACGGTGTATGTGTCGTGGACGCATGCACCGAGTTGTTGATGGCAAACTCTACCATTGGCAAAAACTCACTCTAACTCTTAAAGGAGTGTACGTATCCTCGAAGTATCTCTTCAAGGACACGATTGGCACGTTCCGTCTGACCATCTGACTCTGGATGATCAGATGTTGACATCTTCAAGCGCGTTCCGAGTGATTTGAACACGGAACGCCAGAAATCAGCAGTGAATCGTGGATCTCTGTCTGATACGAGTTCACGGGGCAACCCATGAAGTCGGAAGATGGTGTCAATAAAGACACAAGCACAGCCACTTGCCGTGATTGTCTCTGGTACAGCCACAAGGTGTACCATTTTGCTGAATCTGTCAACAAATACGAGAATACCTGTATTCCCGCGTGCGTCTTTGGGTAACCTGAAGACGAAATCCATTGAGATGGATT